CTTTGTTAGCTGAGAGATAGTTGCTTGTACTGATTGCTACAGCGATGGTGGAATCTGCTTTTGATATGGAAGAAAAAGTACAATAGAATTGTTGAAACTCTTTGGAGGCCAGGCATCCCCATATCTCACCAGAGATTATTCTGCATAATATATGATCTTTATATTTCAGAAGGGTTTTAGAAACTCTTTTTTAGTAATTTGATGGATAAAAGGGTAAGCCCTTTGCTATTTTATTTATTTAAAAATTTATAATTATTGCAACTCAAATTCTGATTTCTAAGAACTGATTATAATTTAACAAATATATTCTAATTTCAGAACAGTTTTGGATCTAAAAAAATATTCAGGACTTTTGAAGGGAAGTGGATTTATAACTGATTTTTAAAATTTCATTTTTACCAGAAGGGATGTTTTAGATCTGGGCAGAAGTTGACCTTTTTCATTATATTTAAAGTCATAGGGGATAGTGTTCTTAGACTGGCTAGAGTAAGTAAAAAATGGAATAATCTAGAATATTTGACATAAATCTCCTAGGAAACTGAGAAAAAAAGTGAGGTGTGTTATACTTTCTCTTAATATTTATTGAGTCTTATTAGAAAGTTGAAGAAAGAAGGTTTTATTATACAGATAAGAATAGGTAAACTAGTCACGCACTTCTAGTTAGGTTTTTGTTTTAATGCATACTGTAAACTATTTTGATGTCTTTGAGTTCTGGACTCTAATTTTTAATTTTTCAAATTTGTTCCTGTATTAGTTTCCTAGGACTGCCATAACAACATACCACAGGCTGTGTCGATAAAATGATATTTATTTTCTTACAGTTGTGTGGAGGATAGAAGATTAAAATTAAGGTGCTGGCCGGGTTGATTTCTACTGGAGGCCTCTGTCCTTGACTTGCAGATGACTGACTTCTTCCTGTGTTTTCACAGGATTTTTGTTCTGTCCTGTCTGTTGTCTGTGTCCTGATCTCTTCTAAGGATAGCAGTCATATTGGATTGGGGCCCACCCTATTCACCTCATTTTAATTTAATTGCCTCTTTAAAGACCCTGTCTCCAAATATAGTTATATCCTGAAGTACTAGAGTTAGGACTTCAGCATATGAATTTGGATGGAATTGGGGGGGGTGGGGGGATGGGGTGCAGTTCAGCCCATAACAATTCCCTTATCTTTTCTTCTTCTGATTATTTGTTGTGGTGTCAACAGGGAAACTGTAATAGAACTGGTTCAGTTTTCACTGCCACTCTTTAATATAGCTTTCATTTTCAACATGAGTTTACAAAATGAGGTGTTGGGGCCTATTTCCCAACATGCTTTTTATCTTTGAGTTCTGTGGATCAAAATCTAGTAACTTTAGATCTTTATTTTAAAATCCTGTATTCTCAGGAGATAAAGCTTTAGAATTTTAATAGATAAGTGTTAGATTCTATTCTGCACAAAGAATCTCTCCGAACCCAAAGAGCAGAACCAAAAGTAATGGCATCTGTTACCCTTTAAGGCTGAAGTAACAATAAACTAAAAAGATAGAGAGTTATTATGCCAAATACTGTATGAAACTCAATTTTATATAACAGGACAGTTTCCTCATATTTCATTAGGTAGTAACACCTGTCCTGCTTTGCTGATTACATCAAATAAGTTTTGCTTACAAAAGATAGCTTTCACAAACTAAGTCTTTGTAATGTGTTAGTTTAGACGTGATATATTTAATAAAGATGTTACTTAAAATAATATTAACTGAACATTATTTAAATATTAGTACTTCTTAATTATCACAGATCTTGTGCCTCCTGCATTTCGTATGTCTTCTCTGTAGAATGGTAATGCAGTAACACACCTCCAAATTTGTGCATATGGAGGGATTTAAAAATGTCATTGCCATGCAGATGTTAGGTGTGTCGTATGTGTTGGGTGTACCACTACTGGGGACAACTTCTGTTTTGACTAAGCAATTGGACTAGCTGACAGACAATTACAACCAAATATCTCTCCAATCAAGGAACTTTGAATATTTTTTGTCACCCTCCTTCTCTATAATGTCCAAGTTAACACATTTTTATTGGTATGACTTCTCTCCACACTCTTTGTGATTTTTTTTCCTCTTTTAAACTTCCCTCAATGTTAATTTTCACTTGAAGTAAAGTATGTAATTAAAATTAGCTTAAATCTTGCCTCCTTTGAGGAATACTTGCTTTTACTGAGTTACTTATTAAAATTTTAGGAATTGCTAAGTAAATAACACAATGAAATATTTAAAAGTTTAAGTTGGAGATAATATATTGAACAAATTATCTGCTATTGATCATTTTCATTAAGCACAATGGGAATATTTTGATTGAAGGGAAAATAATGTTGATTAGGTCAGTTGTCCTTATTTTAAAAAAGTTTTATAAAGACAAAAACTCTAATGACATTGCTTTAATTTTTAGGAACTTTTATTTTGATATTATTTCAGATGTATAGAATTACACATTTTAGAAAATTTGCAAAATTTCAAATTATTACAAAGAATATTTGAACACCTTTCACTATGTCTCTATCTGTATATGTCTTCTTTACCTGAAATATTTCAGAGTATATTGCAAGCCTGGTGCTCCTTTCTCCCATATATGTCCATATATCCTAAAATTAAGAAAATTATTTAATACTACAACAGTACCATTATCAAAATAGGATATTAACAGTGAAATATTGCTATCATTTAATCTACAGATCATATTCAGGTTTCACCAATTGTCTCATTAATGTTTTTTATAGTAAAAGAAAAATGATTCTGCAGCATCCTACATTACTTGTTATGTCTCTTTCTCTCTATCTGGATCATTTCCTTAGTCACTTTTTGTGAACCACAGTTTCACAAGGACCTTTCCTTTTTTTTTTAAATCAGGACAAGCCATTTATTTTATAGAATGTCCCTCATTTTACATTTTTTTTTCCTCATGGTTATATTCAGTTTTGCATTTTTTGCAGGACTATTACAGAAATTATGATGTTCTTTTATGAGCATTATATAGGAGATTCATAATGTGTACTTATCCTATTACTGGTGAAGTTGGCTTGGTTAAGGGCTATGTGTCTCACATTTCTACACTACAGAGTTCCTATTTGTCCCCCTTTGTCATTTGACAATGACACAGTTATTGAGAGGTCTTCTGAAGTAAAACAGAGCCCTATAGTGAATTTGGTCCTTTAAACTTTCATGACAAGTGTTTTATAAAAGAAAACAGCACATAATAGTATAGCTGGTTATATTTAATACATGCTTTCATATACATTTTTCTATGAGGAAGATCAGGAAGGGCAGGTCATCTCTAGAGTGACATAAATTTCAACCCTACTTCCACCATATACGATAGGTATGTTTCTCAATTTGCTGCTTATTCATTCATTCATTATATATTTATTTGTCTAGTATATATATACATATAGTATGTACTTTCTGGGCACTAGATATAGATAAAATTAAATCATTCACTTAGCTTTTAATATTATTTCCCCACCTAGCAGAGATGTGTCAGTAGTGTTGATATAAAGCCCTGGGCGCATAGTAGGTTCACCTCTTGAATACTTGAAGTGATAAAATGCTTTCTCATATGAAATTTGTTTCTACCAGTAATAGAAGGGGGCTTTACACTTGTTCTTTTCTTATTATATTTATGCTATAAAATCTTGTTTCTCACAAAACCATAATTTACTTTCAAAAATACATTTTTTAAACTAATAAGATCTTTGCTTAGCGTCTCATTTATTTTACAAAGGTTAGATGCTTATTTTAGTAATGATTTGTCATTAAAATTATGTCAAAATGTCTTAAAATTGTTGTTGAAACTGTAAACAAACTCATAACATACACAGAGCTAATTATGGATGCCATCTGTTTATTTTTACAAAGCCTTTTTTTTTTTTAAGATCATGGCATTGTCTGCCTATGATAAGCCTCAAGATTATTATAATAAGTCCTATCCTTCAATTAGTGCAGTTTGAGACGGGAAGGCATTTTGTTTGTCCACTGACCTTTTCTCATGTCAAAATGTATGAAATATGACATGTCATGATAAAGAAAGTATTGTGAAGTGCATTTTGAACATGCTTAATTTTTATGAGAAAAGAAATTATATCAAAGCAGCAGATGTGGCCAAAGTTTTATTTAAACTTTTCGAATTTATTCAAGGCTTTAGGTGAGAGACAGATTATCTGTTCTTTGCAAGTGCCGTAAGGGATTTGTTTTAGCTTAGTTAAGGTTAGGAACTTGTAAGCCATCAGTCAAATTTAAAATGATGTGTATTCCTGTTAGTATCTCTGTATGTCAATACATGTTTTTGTACATGTGTATCTCATGTGTTAGTGTAGAAGGCCAGGGATTCCCGTGACAGCATCATCCAAAGTAGTTATCAGCAATTTGCTGAGAGAGCAGAGTGATTTCACTGGCTCGGTTTTGCTATTGTGCATGCTAAGCACTCCCCACGTAAGTCTGGAGGGAAAACAACCTGCAGGATCCATCTGCTCCTTTCTGCTACATTGCATTGATGTAAGAGTACGCTAATCTGGTTGCTTGTCAGGACAGGTTAGTGAAAGCATGCAAGCGGGTGAGACTTAGGCTAGACTAGTGCTTTGGAAAATCACAGCTGCCTCTATAGATGCCATGCTAAGTGTAGCAGAATAGGTTCATTATCAGCCACATTGAGGACTGCAGTTAAATACATAATTTTCAGTTATGAATTAGTTTCAAAATTGAAAGTGTTAAACATTGCTGGACCACATCTAATTAAAAACTAGGAAAAGTAATACAGATGTTTACAAATACTTTTTAGGTATAAGTTTTTCTTATGCTTTGTACTTTATTGTGTTTATTCTTTTATTTTCTTAGTTTTTTTAGTCAAATATCATTAAATGTTAAATGTTATTAACCTTACTTTATCTAGAAATTGTTGAAATTGTCTTGCTTATTTCCATTTATTTACCTATTCCTACACCTATTGACTGGCACATCTTGGCATTGCAGGTTGAGCATCCTGTCACAGAATGTATTACTGGCCTGGACCTAGTCCAAGAAATGATCCGTGTTGCCAAGGGTTACCCTCTCAGACACACACAAGCTGATATTCCCATCAACGGCTGGGCAGTTGAATGTCGGGTTTATGCTGAGGTAAATGAATGATGTTGGGAGGAAGGATGGTGGTTGTATCTGAGTCTTGAGACCCAAAGTATATAGTTAAACAACAAGGTAAAGTTAGGTTTTTATAATCTGTGTCAAGTATTTGATTATGTAATCCAGAATTGAACCAGAAAATAAGGTTAGATAATTTTGACATAATTAAAAATAATTTTAAAGGATTGAGTTTACCTAATTTTTGAGTGTGTTTTTTTTTCTGGATGGAGAAATAGCTACTGATCAATCAGTTTAAGGAGCAACAAAGCATTAAATAATCTTGTGCTTCAATGGACCATGGTTTTTGTTTTGTTTGCTTTGTGTTTGTTTCGTTGTTTTAAACCACATTTGAAATAAACAGAAGCATTGTTTCTGTATTGTTTAAGAGCCTGCCCTGAGTACACATTAGATGTTATTTCAATATTTACTTAAATTTTTCCAACAGTTTTTTTCTAAAAAGTTTATCCCTTATGATTTCATGAAAGGGTTGAAATTTAAATTGCCAAGCTTTTAATAAAACTTTTCATTCATAATTTTAATTACAGATTTTACTTATAAACTCTAAGCTCAGTATAGTACATTTACATCAATTTATAAGTATAACTATATAAATCAGATAATAAAGCAGTCAACATCTGAAAATGCTTTTTTCATATACTTAAAACTATAATGTAAGGAAACGTTTATACTGTCTTTTACCTTTAGACATTGAAGCCCACCTGTCAAAATAAAAATTAAATTAGCAGTATCTGTGTTTAAGAATACTGGAAGTTGTTTGAAGTGTTGTTTAAGGATCTTGAGAAATATGTTTTGGCTTTGTTATTGTTAATGCTTTTTATTTTATTTGAAGTGTTATTCTTTTCTCTCATTATTATAACACTAAACTTAGGTAAATTTTATCCTGATTTTCTAAGGTATGTACAAATTGAGCACATGTCTACTACCACGTGGAAAACTTTTTTCAGGATTTTATTTGAAGAACAAAATTCTCAAATTTCACCATATGTGAGCTGTTTTAAGAAAAAGAAAAAATATCTTTAGTACACTACACTTGTTGTTCTTAACTTGAGTATGTTTTGATGTAGTGCTTAAGTTATTTTATTTTTGCCCAAGGCATTCTAAGAAGATTTATAAAAAGTTGGAATTTTACCAATTTCAGTAAAATACAATCAAGGGCAGATTCAATTCTGCTCACAATTCTGTTTGATTTTTAAATATACTTCTAAGTTATCTAGAGTGTAAGACAATAATATTCTGAAATCTGTGATTTGATAAGTACTGTATGTTGAAAAATAGACCTATAAATGCTTCGTCAGTGTATAAATATTTAACCTTGCGCTGGTTTATGTTTCAAAGATTGTGCTTTCTTTCCTTTTGACTTTCAGGACCCTTACAAGTCTTTTGGTTTACCATCTATTGGGAGATTGTCTCAGTACCAGGAACCAATACATCTACCTGGTGTAAGTCATTAAGCTATAATACCAAGTGAGGGGTTAAAAATTCTGATTTATGTCATACTTTTATGTGAAAGCATGTCACCCCCAAAGGTTATAAATTGAAAGACAAGTGGAATTCATGGGGAATCACAGTTTTTTGTTTTTTAATATTTAGTATTTTATAATGTGTAGGAAGTCAGAATTCACTTAATGGGAAGTCTGGCAACATCTGACTTCTAAATCTATATAAATTATACTTTACAATGTTCCCAATTCTCTCAAAAATTGTAATTAAACAGCATGGAATCCTAAGAATGGGAAATGACTTTTCTATGTAAAATTTAACCATTTAATAAATCTAATCCAGTATCCCTGTATAGTCAGTTGTCAAGAAATTCAAGCACAACATCAGCTTGTTAATTAAAATGGATTAAGGAAAACAAACTACCTCATTTTGTTAAGCATCATGGGCTTAAGTACATTATTTATACCAGTTAAAGAAAAGTGACCAATGCCCACTTTATTCCATAGTTCTTTTATATTTAATAGTTGTTCCTTAAATAGTTTTTCTTGCATAAAAAGAACAAGGACATACCCTTTTTTTAATCAAGGTAATAAGTGTGTGTGTATATATACATATACACACACATACACACACGTATATATATACATATATATATACACACACACACACACATATATATATGACATGATGTTAGCTGGTGGATGACAAGACAGTACCATCTGTGAATATGATTATTCAGTTTGATTACTGGCATGAAGATGGTGAAAGATTACAGGGAGAGTTCTAAATTTGAAGATGTTATTGGATATATGATTTATTTCACTTTTTAAAATTGTTTTTGCCCATGAGCTTTCTAAAGGGACTTGACCCTTTCTAGGGTTGGAGACTCCATGCTGTGTTCAAAGCCAGAAGGGAGAAAAAAATTGTAAAGATTTAACAGGCATTATGTGATATTGAATAGCAGATGAGAAAACAAGTATAGGGACACATCTAAACTTTTTTTAATCAAAGAAAAAGTATTATAAGAACTCATAATGATTACTCCAGTTGTTAGAAGTTTTCACCATGTTGTAATAGCTCACAGAATGTCAAACATTTTGCCCTTGCAAGTTTTTGCAATTTGCAATTTTCAAACGTGAAACCTGTTGAAAGCACAAGTGATAATGGACAACTATACCCCCTACAGTCTTTGTCCCTCCAAATCTTTCTTCAATTAATGCTGCGGCAGGAATTTTATGTAATAACATTTGTGGTTGTGAGCCATCCATAGATAGAAAAAACAATTAAAATGCCTTAAATGTTCTGCTTACTGCTGTTATTTGCTTGTGTGAATGTTGCATGTCAGCTAAATGGACCAAGGAATAGATAAAGCAATTGGGTGCGGGAGAGTGCACACTAAGCTTTGTCTATCATTATTGCTGGGAGCAATCAAATTGATGTCAGCAGGACAGTAGATGCGTTGACAGCTGTAATTATGTATCTCCATGGTGATCACTTTTGGCCTGTCATGGAGGCCCGTGAGTCCCCTGCCTTGGAAGCATTTAATCAGATTGGACTGTCACTTGTCAGGTAGACATGGCGGGCTGGGAGTTGTGCTGGGGGGAGAGGTGAATTGAGAATGAGGGGTGGGAGGTGGCTTACAGTTTCGCGAGTCCACTGCTGGTACACAAGAAAGATATTTAAATTATGCCAGGGGTTTCTGAGCAGTGGTTTAAGACTCTCATACATATATGCTTGGGTGTTTTCCTCCTTGCATTCTTAAACGAAATCAGTCGTTTTAAACATAGGAATTCCTTTGTGTCTCTTACCATTTTGGTCACAAGAATACACACTTCAGAGTTAACTTATGGTTTGTACTTTTCACATGCTTCTTTAAGCCTAAAATTTACTTCTGTTGCAAACACAAGGGCTTTCTTTTTATCTTTGGCCACCATATCTATAAATTTGTTATTTTCATACTGCAATTTTGCTCTGCTCATAAATTTGTGGATAATTTTGTTTGACTTTATTCTTAAAGCTTTTGGTACAAGAGCTAAATTTTTTTTTATATATTTAGTCTTTTTTCACTTGGAGGAATGCTGTGTTCAAAGCATTGATTTTACTTGATTTTACTTTTAATTCATTGTTAGACATTTTAAAAAGCTGGTTATTATTTGGAAAAAGATGCATAAACAAATTGTAAGTGGGAGTTTTCTTTGTTACACTTTTAAATTGGGAATGTTGATTTGCTTATACAAAGATACGTGTTGATTATATATAATACATCTTGATTTTAATCTACATATTTTTACATGAAAATGACATATCTTCTGTAATCATAATTTTGATAAATAACAAAAACATAGTTATATCTGGTGGCCCGAGGTAACCTTACTCTTGGGATGCTTTTATTTAAGGTAACTAAAATTTTAAATTATGAATCACAGGAGAATGTAATAAATATTCTTTATTGTCTGATTTTATCAGTGGGTTGAAAATCAAAGTCCCACACTGGCTTTATATCACTTTATATAGCAAATCATGGAATATATTAAAAGATAAAAGTTCTAGAACTTGTATCAATCTCAATTTTAAATACAGCTTTAGCAAGCATGCTATGGTTTTAAATAATACATTGGGGTAAAATGAGCTCTTAAACTTTTTGCGACTAAAATTAAGAAATTGCAAGATGTCTTTTCTGTTGTGTAACTTGATTACAAGTTGCCATTTTGGGCTATTTAAATGTGGGAGAAGACAGATTATGATTTATTGCTTTCACAGATGCCCCATTAATTCTTTTCTAGTTTATACAAACACTGAGAATTTTATAGAACTTCAGTTTATGTCCAAAAGTATGTTTTTGGAAAATAGAAAGCGAAGGATATTTTTAAGTGCACTGAATGACTTTCATTTAAAATTAAGGTTTTCCTATATGAATGTGAGTGCAAATATAAATCTCCATATTTTTGTGTTTACAAATACCAAAATAAAAGCATTCTGGGTTAGTTATAATGTTACCTTCTGAAACCTTACAAAGAGAATAATAATAGTGTGACTTTTTAAAGAGAATAAAACTATGCTTTATCTTTTGATGTCACTGTAATAAAGCCATCATCATGTCCTCACGTGGATATCCTAGACAAGAGGTTCTACATACGGTCCCTTGGCAATTGCCTGAATTAAAATATTAAAGGCCTAACAGCCGCTGAGTTGACCTTTTTCTGCCTTGCTGCAGACAGATGAGCTGCCGTTTATTAGGAAGTCTTCTTCCCACAGGTGAGGAGCTACGTGAGCTTCCACTTTTCTCTTCCCACCCCTTTACAATGTTGGGCATCAAAGTCCTGCTCTTCTAGCAACTTCCATTAAATTCTTCCATTTGCAAGACCCCTAAGACATGCTTGATGGTCTTAAATAGTATTTGGATTAGCTTTAAGTACTTCAGATTCCAAAACTTAAAGACAATAATTTAATAACTATTTCATCCTCAGCAACTGCTCGTTTAAAAAGTTTTACATGGCTAACCTCTGTGCCTTATTGCTGGTATCAAACTGGGAAATGAAAACAAGGATCAGTGACATACTAACTAACTTGTTGGCTGGTTAACAGCAATCGGACTCTTCAAAAGAATTTTTTGAACTGGTACTATTTTTTTCCCCTCATGAAAATTGCAAAATCAGAACTCTATTTGGGGCTGTGTCCTTACAAAGCAAATCCATGAAAAAAGCTGTGTAAACATTAAAGTTTCAGGGGCTAACAGTAACAGAAAAAAGGTGTTTTACAGTTGAGAGGATGAGGCAAAAAGGGAAAGTGTTACAGACATGAAAGCTCCAAGACTAGCTTTCCAATAGAGCTGATGAGCAGAGCTCTCAAGTCCTGCTGCATGGCTTGACTGGGGTCCTCAGTGGAACTCTCAGAAGGGTATAGTGGGAGCGTGATTAGAAGGGGCATCATTCATGCTATGCGTCAGATGGAGACACCATCAAAAAACTACAAATGCATTGCAGGATAGTGATGTATAAAGGCTACTTTTTCTCTTTCCTGTTTATTCGTTTCTTCATTTAGTAGGAGAATGAAAAATATGTTGGGCAGCATATTAAAAGACCAAGATATTTTGGTCTCTATATATTTCTAGATTGTTGCTGTTTTCTAGAAGTTAAATGTTGAGATTGAAATTATTCACCTGTTCCGTAGTCATTAAATTTGTTCTTAGCAAAACATCTGTCTGTACAATATGAAGTTACTTTCATTTTTTTTTTTTTTTTGTCCTCTAGGTCCGGGTTGACAGCGGCATCCAACCAGGAAGTGACATTAGCATTTATTATGATCCAATGATTTCCAAAGTTAGTTCTGTTTCTTGATGGCTTCTTTCAGTTTTCTTCTGAAAAGGCAATGGACCTGTTTAATTAAAAAGTTTGAAAATGGTCCTTTATTTGATTCATGTGCTAAAATTAAACAAGTACTATGTACTGATGGAAAAGTGAAAGCTGAATAGATTTTCATTTAAGGCAGACATTTCAACGTCATGTTAGTTTGCAACACTCCCTCCTCCCCTATCAAATCAAATCAAACTACTAACCCGCCCTCCTCCCCAACCCCAATAACAAATTTACCTAACCAATGACAGAAATCCAGACTATTGCAGTGAGGAAGGGTTAACAGCATTTTGTTGCCTATTCCTGAAAATTGCCTGTGATAAATAAAGCTAATGAATGGCAGGTGATGTCAGAGTTTGGTTGATAGTCTGTGTGTGTTAGGGTACTTTTATCTTTTCTCTTCAAATTTTATAAATCACTAATTATATAGATTTGTCATAATTAAATTTTATGTAAGAGTACAGGGTGTCTTTTTGGCTACGAGTCTTTGAAATTTGACTTTCCTGCTTACATTAACAACTTTACTCAAACCTTTAGATTTTTAAAAAATGTTTAGAATTTTAAGATCTTAGAAAATGTAAAATTCTGGTACCATAGTTAGAATTGTGTGTTTTATTTAGGAAATCCTATTTTTCTCTGAAGTTTTATACTTGAATTGAAAGGTGGCTTTTTTATTAAAAATCTTATTTCTCAAGATGGTTTCCCCTGTTTTTTTCTGGGGTACTTTTAAATAGCTTCAGTAAACAATTTTTTAATTTTCTTTTTTCATTTGTTTTTACACTTGTATTGTTAAATGAGCTTTAGGTATTTTGTTTGTTAGAGAAACATTATTTAAAAAAATAGAATAAATTGATTTAAATAGATAATGGTTTCATTTTTAGATGAATACATGTCTGTTCAGAAGCAGTTCTGAAAATTAATTCAAGCTAATTAAAATACTAAAATGTACTAAGTGTATTACACAAATGTTTTGAAAGTACTAAAATGCAAGTTGACTAATGTAATAACCAGAAAAGTCTTTCATGAATTCTTAAGGTGTTATCTTACTGCTAATATGTATAAGATATATGTAAGTAAGCACAGAATCATATAGAACAGTAAATTTTTTTTAGCTTCTATTGTATGTTATTTGTAAATGTTAGCTATTCAGGGTATCAAATTTGGAAATCATAGAGAAATAGGGAATGGAACATTTACCTAATCTTCCACTAGTCCAGATGTTTCATTTTCATATCTTTTCTTTTAAATGTTTATGCTTATTTTTGTTCATCTCAAATAGCTCTTTACTATGATAGTGAAATATAGGAGAAGAGTTTGAAGTAGCTTGATTCTAATATTTACTTAGAAAAATCTTAATTGACATACTTAATATAAACTGACTCACTGTGAAATTTGAAAGATATTATGGGAAATCTGTCATGAAATATTTTAATTTTTAATAAGGTGAATTTTTTTATAGATTGGTATATGTATCTATATAAATTTTTTTGTTTGCTTTTAGCTGGTCACATATGGTTCTAATAGAACTGAAGCACTTAAGAGAATGGAAGATGCACTGGATAATTATGTTATTCGAGGTAAAAACAAGCATTTGATGTCCTGTTGTCATCCATCCAGTTCTAGAAAATAGCATGAAGATTTACTAATCAGGGAATTTGATTCAATATTTGCTTATAATTTGTTTAAGTGGAATAAGAAAAGCTTGAATTAATTAAACTGACATACTAATTAGGAATAACTTTTATTTTCTTTAGCCGTCCTATACTTTGCATGCATTTATATATATGTATATATATCTATATCTATCTATCTTACATCATATTATATTATATAACTTAATTTATGACCTTTCCTAGATGAACATTTAATATTTTATAGCTATACATTACATGTAAAATAGTTTTTCATTCTGAAGACTGCCAGTGCAGTTTGACAGCAGATTTGTTACATTATTGTCTCTGTATTTTTTTAAAGTATGAAACTTGAAAATGTATGGAGATGTGAAATACAGCGGCTTACAGTTTACTAACTTGAGGGTAGAAGGAAGAGTTCTTTGCTTCTATGAATTAGGACAAATTATAGAATATTTTCAAGCAAATACAATTTTGTGACCTTATGTACATATGGGATAATTCTGATACCAAAGGGTGAATCTGTAATCCTTTAGGGTATATACTGATAACTAATTTAGGAACAGCCATTACATTTAAAGAATTAAAGTTATACTAATTCCCCTTTAGGAGTAAGTTGCATTCTAAATGTTATTAGCAACTTTCCATTCATAATGAAAAGGTCATTTTACTTTAGCCTAACATAAATTATCATCAACTTCAAAATAATGGACTTTAATATCAAACTTAAAGTGTAAAATATAAATTCACTTTGAATTATGAAAGACTCATGTAGGAAAGACCATATATAAACAAGATTGAAAGCCCATTTTAGGTCATTCTCAGTGTTGTGTGCTGGATTATAAGCTTTCATTGCACCCTGGTCCGCTTCCCCAAAGCATTAACCATAACTGTAGTTAATGAATTAGTTGGGTAATTAATTGCTAAATGTTGGTTTGCCTCATAAGAATATTAGGTACATTAGGGCAGTGATGGTGTTTATCTTATTTACTTGTGTATTTCAAATTCTTAGCAGTGCTTGACACATGGTAGGTGATTAATATTTGCTGAATGAATTACTAAAAGATTGAGTAATAACTATGCCTATTTCAAGGAGTTTCTAGTAAATTTGGTGTGAAAATAAATACATAAAAATAAGTATAATATAGATAGGTAGATATCTCAATAGTGGAGTGAAAAAGTAGAGTGAGAATTCAAATGTGGGGAGGGTATCTGTCTTTCCTCACCTCCCCCTTTTGGTCCTTTGAAAGTAACATGAGTACTGATTTAGGACTCATAAGTGGCAGCATTTTAAAAAAGATTGGTAACTTACTCTGTAGGTAAAAGTGATGGCACACTCAGAAGTGTGACTTGCTATTGAATTTTGGAAAAACAATCTGGCATTAGACATTAAAGTAAAAGTACATGCCCTTGGCCCTAGCTGTTCAGTTCTGGGGACTCTTTCCTACAGAGTTAAAAGACCGAACTGTGATGATGTTTACAAGGACATTTACAAAAGAACTGTTTGTAGTAACCTAAATTCTGACCCACCACAGTGTCCACTAAATGGATGAATGATTGAATAACTTAGTGTGCACATTCACTATAAAATTCCAGGCAGGTCCATATGTGTTGTTAAAGACTTGATGACATGTCCATATGTGTTAATGTAAAAAAACAATTCGCAGAATTATATGTAGTACAATCTTATATTAGTTAAACCACCACTTTCCAATCCTAAAATATGTTTAGTTGTGTTTGAATGAGCATAGGCAAAGATGTGATTATATACATATCAGATGAAAAACATGCAAATATTTATGTGTTTATGAATATATTATTTTAGCTCAGAAGATTTATCAAAGAGGGGTTTTTCTTGATACATTACTTCTAGGCTTTATTTCAGGCATTTTTAAATCTAGAGAAAAGTTGAATGAACTGTATATTGGATACATGTACACTGCTAACCTAGATTAATTATTAAGTTTTTCTACATTGGCTTTTTTCTTCATCTTTTTCTTTCTCCATTTCTTTCCTTTCTCCTTCTTCCTAATCACCCTCCCTTTTTCATTTCCTCACTCCCCTTTCTCCTCTTTTTTTTCCTGAACTATTTAAAAGAAAGTTGCAGATGTCATGACACACCACTCCTAAATACTTTAGCATACATCTTCAGGGTAAGATCAAGAACCACAATACCACTGTTACACCAAAGGAAATTAACAGGAATCTCATAATATCATCTAATGTACTCTCCATATTCAAGGATCCCTTATTGTCCCCAAAGTGTCTTTTTAAGTCATTTTTAACCTTACAGTCTAGTCACAGTTTACACTTTATTTTTGGTTATGTATTGTTATTATCTTGCTCTCTTTGTATTTTATGTTTTAGAAGAATCAGGAAAGTTTTCTAATAGAATGTCTTACATTCTAGATTGGAGTTCCAGTAATGTTCCAGTGCATGCACTTGGGAAATGAACTGGAAAGCTGGGGGTTACAGTTGGAACGTGGTTTATTTTGAATTGGTGATTTTGAATGTGGTGCAGTTACTGGAAACTAGATGATTTTTCGGTGTGTCTATGAGACTAGGTAGCTTTAGCTGAAGACTAGTTTATTTGGAATGAGATCCGAAAACCTGAGTGGTGGGATCATCCACACAGGGTGACATGTGTTAGGATCAGAAGGAAGGTCATGAGTCAGGTAACATATGTTCTATAGTGAATGTTGGGTTGTGGCAAGGATGTTGACAGATGACAGGATTGAAGAAGATTTTATGACCAGATAAAATAAACCTTAATAAAACAGGTTTTTCCAAGGATTAGAATCGGTAATATTCTGGAAGAGACAGTAGATCGCAAGGAAGTATGTGAGGGTTGCTGGAGAAGTGAGATTCTTAAGGGCACTGAGGCTTTCAGGTGAGGCTAGGAGGTAGATGGAATGTTTTATGAAGATAGTGAAACAATAGACTTGACTGATGATGGAGCAGGAATCTCAGAAGATGTTGTGGAATCACTTGGAGAAGAGGGAAGAGGGGTTTTGCAGTGTTGGGGAATAGTTGGGTCAGTGGAGATTCTGACAATGAGGGATGGTCAGAGAAACTTGTACTCCCGGTGATGGGTGCAGAGTCCCAGCAATACCCTGGAGGAAGATGAGCACTTAGGCTCAGAGGTATTCTTGGGGGGCTGGGTCTGTATACTTCATCAAAATAATTTTTAATTCTGTTTACTTTTCTTTGGCCCTGCTGTCCCATGCTACCACCGTCTATATTGTGGACTAGCAAATAGCTTCCTGAGTGGGTTCTCTGTAGCTTCTCTTTACCTGCATCAATCCATCCTTCAGTATGGACTGAATAAATGTTTTAAAGTATAAACCCAATCAATGATCACTTCCTTGCTAAAATCCATTTAGTTTCTTCCCATTTCCTTCACATGGATGCCATAGTTTGATTTACACCACTTTCTCTCATGCCTTTTTTCCCCACTTCACTATTGCTGTCCTCTCTCGACCTGAGGACCTTCATAGTTAGGCTATTTTCTAAACACCTATAACAAAAATAATAAAAGATACAATGACCTAACAGAGATGCAGTTTAATTTCTCTTCCATGTAATAGTCCAGAAAGGATGTTGTCAGCAGCTGTTAAGGTGACTCTCACATTCACAGCAAATGGTTTTCATTTTGGGGTCCAAAGTGGCTACTTTCATGCCTATTGTCAGGTCTTAGCAGGAAGGTGGCAGGGGGAGGGGAGCTCATGTTCATTTTTTCAAAAAAATTCAGGGTATAAATTAGAAGGCACTCACTATTTCTGCTCCCGTGCTATTGGTGTATAGTCATATGGTCATACCTAGCTACTAGGAAGCTGAGAAGTATAGTTGATATCAAGTGGCCATATGCTAAGCTAAAAAGTAGAATTTCTTTTATTAAGGGAAGGGAGGAAGAATAGATATAGGTGGATGACTAGGGAAATAGGAATGTATACATGCATCTGCTCATTTGTGGGGGGAAAACACATACACAAGATCAGAACTAATAGGATGGTGTACCTATAAGGGACGTAGGGAGAATCTGGTGGAAACAATTGGGCAACATGAAACAAAATACATGGCACTAAGGGAAGAGACTTCTTTGATTATATATTTTTGTGTAATTCTGACTTTTAGATCTATGGTAATATTTCAAAATAAGTAAAATCATTAATGTTCTAGGAGAGTAACTCTAAATGGAATGCAAACAGAAACAACTGGACAGGAGTCTATAAATAATATGCTGAAGGAGAGAGAAAAAAAGCTAACCTAAGTAATTTTTAGCAATATGTTGACTGATGTTTGTAGGCTAAAGACAAAATATAAACAACTATTAAATTCTAGTTAATAGGTTTGTTTTGCCTAGTTCATAAATTAGCAGTTCTGAAACCAGTTTATGTATATTCTGGGATTGAGGAAATATATATATATATTTTAGATAAGAAGAGCCAGGTTTCTCACTGTCAGGAAGGAGTTACAGATGTGGGAATGGATAAGGGTAGACCCCTTTGGTGTTGAAATGAAATTGAAGGTATCAGTATGAATGAATGATGGTGCATCTGTGTGCACATATGTAAACACATTCTCTAGTTCAGAGTTTCTCAACTTGCACACTATTGACATCTTGGGGTAGACAGTTATTTGTTGTGGAGGGCCTGTCCTGTGCATCGTAAGATATTTATCAATATCGTTGGCCCCTACCTACACAAAATGACAGTAGCATCTCCTCAGTGTGTGTCCTGGGGGGCAGTCACCCTTAAATGAGAACCGTTGGCCTGCCTGGAGGTCACAGAAGCATTGATACCCATAGCAATGAGCCCACCAAACACTTAGATCTAGTTTTGTAAATATCATTCATCCATAAATGGAATCAGTACTCTTTGATAACATAGCTGATTTCAGGAAGATTTTAAAATGAGCCCAAAATATCTTGTATAAGAAAGTAATTG